GGTCTACATGAAGAGATGAGCATCACCACAAGATTGCCACGTGCTCCCAGGAAAGTTCACACAAAGCCTGTTCCTTCTGTCTTACTTATAAACGAACTTTCTCGGAAGCAGTTACCCAGTGCACTGGCTTACCCAATAAACAAAGATGTTTCAGTTGAACACAGAAACCACTGTTTTGAATGACAGAGACAACTGTATTGGAATATTGACTTGGTGCTGTGAGAATAAAACCTGCAAAAAATTTTCCGCTAAAAAGGATTTCAATTTACAGGTTTTTATACCATACTAAAAATATGACATTTCCATGCCTGAGATGGTAATCTGGTCTTGCCTGGGACGTAAGGGCCGGGTCAGCTACATAACTTACAAGACCAGTGCAAAATGAAAATCCGTTATTCAAAAGATAGGATGAAATAAATGCAGTTCAAGGTACTAAAATTACAAAACATTTTTCTTTAAGAAGAAGAAATGTATAAGACAATGGGTGATACATGAATAATATCATAACCCTATAGATAGCAAAAATATATTTTACATCATAATTTTATATAATACAATAAATAATAATGCTTTATTAATGTGATAACTTGGTTGATTGTAAGATTTTTCTGGTTCACGTTTCTTCAAATTCATTTATTAGATCATCAAAGTTTATTCTTTTAGCAACTTTATTTTAAGTGATATAATTAAAAGATTAGTTGCTCTTGGCAAACGAAAGATCACACATAAATTTTGGTAATTTTTAATTTTGAGAAAGAACTTTCTGCTGATGCAACTGACACTGGAACTGTTAAGAATATTTTACAGGCTGTGAAACATTTGGATAGATTTCTGATAAATTTTTCAAAATACAAATTTTAGTATATCTAGAGCGATGATTCTTGTGGAACAACTTTACTAAAAAGATTTAACTCTTCATACACATTAGTCTTATGTATGTATATAAACTTAAATTTGTGCAGAGCCATTTCAGTGCTTTCTCTGGCGTGTCCTGTAACTTGTAGAGGTCATGCAGGAAACCAAAAGTCACTTAATGATTTGCAGATATTTCAAAATGCCTGTTATGCTTTCTATCACTATATCTTCAATTACAAAGAAAAATTAACTTTAAAATTGTATTCCTCATTGATTCATTTGAAGCTGCATATGAAAACAGTGTTCTTTTCCATCAAATGCAACAGTCTTTTTATTTTTCTCTTATTTTTATTTTTTTTAATTGAGGTATAGTCAGTTTACAGTGTTGTGTCCATTTCTGGCATTGTGTCCAATTCTTCAGTCACACATGAACATACACATATTCATTTTCATATTCTTTTTCACCATGAGCTACTACTGAATATATTTCCCTGTGCTAACAATCTTTTTATTTAATTTCTACTTCTCAGCCTGTGGATATTTGCTTTGCAATGCTGCAGTTTTTAAAAGCAGAGATTTAAACTCTTTGAAGAATTCTAGTATCTCTTTGATAGCTTTATTACAATGTCCATGTGTATGCTTTTCTTTTGGAGTAATGTACTGATGTTTATTGCCTAAACACTAGCGTTCTTATCCCAGTGCTCAGGCCAGAGAGCTAATATTTTTGCACTGGCACTGAGCTCTGGGAAGATAAGCAAGCCAGCCTCCCACCACTGCCGCCGCCACCACTGCTGCTTCTGCCACCATCACACCATCACCATCACGAATGTGGGGCCCTGCACCACCCTAGATTGCTTGTGGCATGCGTGTACACACCAGGCAGGCCAGCCAGCTGTTTGGCATCCACACTGCCCATTGCCCACCGTGCCTGTGTGCCTGAGCCCACACATCCATGATCAGCGTCATCTCCTCCTGCGCCTTTGTCCCAGACTTGATTTCTAACACGCAAGGTCAAGGGTACGATCACTAGGAATTTCAAGACAGCAACAATAGAGCATCAAACCAAACGCAGGACCCCGTGCAGCTACGCAGCTCACGCGTGCCCTGCTTGAGGCTTCACGTCATGTCAGTAGAAGTTACTTGACCCCTTGGATGAATGAATGTGGAGGCAGACGTATTTATGTCTTTGACTTTTGCCCTGGAAATATGAACAGTGGGGCGTGGATGAGGGTGTCATTGACCATAGTTAGTTTCTCGGCCTCTAAACTGCTCCAAGCTTAACACTTTGATAAAAATGCTGGACATTGAGGCAGTCCTTCTTTAGAGGGAACTCGTCACATTCAGATGAGGGTTCTTTTTCCCAAGATGCTAGAGAAAGTAGGAGTTTTTGAGTACTTATAACATGTTAATTTATACCAAACCATTGCTTTAATCCTGACAGGAGTTCTGTTGGTCCCTTACAACATGACAAACTGAACTGAGAGACTGAATAACTTTCCCGAGATCACACAGCTTGCAAACGATGAGAGATTTAAATCAAGTCTGTCTCACTGTGAAGACTTGAGAGGCAATTTTAGTGCCCTGTGTAGGAGCCCTGGAAGCAAACGGCCTGGGTTCAAATCCTCACTCCGCCGTGTGACAACTTCGCGTTAGATGGGTTACCTCCCCTAGCCTTGGCTTCCTCACGTGTATCACGGGCATCGGAGGGGTTACCTACCCCGTAGGGTTGAGTGGAGGGTCAAACAAGGGAGAAAGACCTGTAAAGCATTGAGAACAGCCTGACACTTAGGAAGCCTGCAATAAATGTTACTACTCATTTTATTACTGCTATCATGATTATTTTGCCCACTCCACAGTCTCTCCTCACAGGTTAGAAAAGAATGTTAGTAGTCAGCAGAAGAGAAGAGCTTACAGACAGACAGCCCCTCTGGTGTCTGCCGTCCCTGAAGTTCCCTAGAAGGAAGACCCTCTTACGTGATGTGATCTGGGATCTGATTCTTGCCCAGGGCAGCCCATCTCTGTGGGCTTTTTGGATTCTAAGGTCCTACTGGTCTGACCACTTTCTGTCTGCGTTGCATGTGTTACAGGTATGAAACATCGCTGTTGGATTTGGTTCAATCTCTGAGTCCAAAGACTGCTCTCAAACCTCGGTCCCATCCCTCCAGAGAAGCGGGGTCCTGGAGTCACAGCACTTGCCGGCGCAGTCCTCTGAAATCGACCTGGAACAAGACCAGGGCAGGCAGGACCCCTGAAGACCTGGAGGAGAACCAAATTCTGGAAGATATCTTTTTCATTTGACACTGAAGCGCACGCTGCAGAATGTCCTTCAGAAATGAGTGGGTGTTTTTATATACTGATCTAGGATTTTAAATTATTTGACTGCAATATAATCGTGTCTCTCCTTTCACAGGGGCCTGTCGCACTACCACCCTGTTTAGTATTGAATATAGAAACCATTCTAACAACCCAGGGTGTTTCTGATCAGACCAGTCAGTAGGTAACAGCACATTAAGGGGGATGGGGTGGAGGGCAGTATCTTTTCTATGCCAAGCAGAATGGAGAAAATGACCATAGGACACTTTCTGCCTGGCAGAGGCCATGGCATACTCAGCTTTTTCTTCTCAATATTTTGCTGGGAAAGATTGGCTCTGTTTTCTACACAAGGAAAGCCATTCCACTGCCAGAGCCCTCTGATTTAAATACAGCCCCGTGTCACACAAGCAGTCTCAGAGATAGCCCCTTTTATCTCTCACCCTGTTTCCCTACCACCTTCCTCATCTGAGTGTACTCTTTTAATTCTGAAGTTGGAGTCGGTGCCCTTCCTTCCCAGGCATCGCTGAGGACCACTTGTGAGTCAGTCTTAGTAGTCATCAGCCTGGCACACCCCATAATGGAAAGGGCTTAATGAGCTACAGGGAGGGACCCATTTGGAGGGACCCACTCAACCCTTGGAAACGAGCCTTAAAATTACACAAGAGAGTGCTGCCCTATGGAGGCACAAGCCTGAAATGCTTTTCCTGCTGCCCGCCATTTCCCAGGGTAACTAAGAGCAATCTCTCAGTATTTTTCCCTGACCCAGTGTCTGTTTATTACCCGGCTGAACTCCCCATGGTGGGAGATGCCACTAGAGGGCTGGTGGCGTCAGCTGGCCTCCCCTCCCACCCTGTGGGTTGGCCAGGCCTTGCCTGTGCTCTGCTCAAAGTCGCCATCCCATGGCCCCAGAGAACCATCTCCACTTCCCAGATTATGTTCCACCACCCCAAGCAGGGTCTTCCCCGCTCTCCCACTAGGTCTCGCGGCGAAGGCTTGTGGAAGAAGTACCCTTGAAAGCTCATTTTCTCTCTGCTCTGCTATTCTGCAAAGCTCTTGAGATGGGTCCTTCAGCTTCAGTGGGCTCTAGTGGCCTCTCAAGCTGATGGGCAGTGTGACGAGCCCAGGAAAGCCAGTGATCCCAGTCATTAGAAGCAAGGGGGAGACGTGTATTACTTTCATGACTTTATTTGATGCAGAGAGCTGCTTTTTTTTCTCTCTCCCTTTCACCAACCCCCGGCTCAAATGAGACCAGGGCTGTCAGTCATTATTGTTAGCCGAGGTCAGACCATCGCAATGTGGGCTGCACTTCGTCAGACTGCTTCCCTGAAGTCTTTATCAAAACTAGATTGTTTCAGCCTACAAACACTTCTGAGCAGCTTCCTCGTCTGGATAGATCCAAATCTCATTGTCTCTTCAGGCTGAAGCCCTGTCACCTCCACCCAACCTTCCTTCTCTTGGGTCTTCTTTGTTCTTTGGAGGAGAGAATATAGCTTTCCGATGCCTTATTCTTAATCTGAGCTGAATGTAAGATCAGGACGAACTAGTTGCCGTCATTCAGTTGAAAAGTTCAGAATCACTGCAGATTACAGTTTCCTTTTAGAGTTCACCCCTATATGAGTCACTGAATCAGTTTCATCCCATTTCAGAAGCCTTTGGAAAATAGAGCTTTCTTTGGTCTGGAAAAAATGGGTGGGAACAAACTGAGACCCCTTGACTATTTCCTGAGCCAAAGTTAGTTTTCCAGAACCATCCTTTCCTTGGCCCATATGTCGTGACCTCCTTAAATACACCCAGCTGTCTTGGGTCATCCGTAACAGACACACTCCCATTCTGGACACCAGCATCCTTACTGCTCTCTGGAGTAAGAGGAGGCCAGAAGGACCCAGAAAGGGGTTGTAATTTCTTCAAGAAGCTTGTTTGCCTTTAGAAGAATCAACAGGATCTAAACTAGAGGTTTTGGGGGAGGGGGAGTCCCACAGGATGGAGTTTAAGTGCCTCTTTGCCTCTCCTGAGTGAGCAATTTGGAAGAGCAAAGATGGATTTTCAGCAGAGCATCAATCAACCTCTTTTTCATGTGCCACATTCCCCCTGTGAGTCACCTTTCTCTATCCTGTAGGCATTTCCTGGGGTTCAGAGCTATAGGATGTGAGTTTGTGTCTAGTGTAATGTCTTATTGTGAATTGAACAGGATATGTTAACATTTTAATTTGTGTCTCGCTTTGAGAAGTTGTAGAGCCTCAAGGCTCTTGTAGAGCCTGGAGGCTTAACCTAATTGCGAACTAACCTACCAGGGAGAGGGTCTGGCGCACATAGGAATCTTCTTTTCCTTCCCGTTACGCACTCCCATCCGTGACTGGCAGGGATGCGCGCGCCCCGTCTCCAGCCATTTCCCCAAAGCGAGACTGGGCACATACTGGGGGTGCTGCCAACAGCGTACCACCTTGCCCGCCTGGCTTCCCACCATTCTGTGCAAGGAAAGCCAATGAATGTTTGCCAAATGGGAAAGGACAAAGTGCCCATTGCAGCTGTTTAAGTAGGGCCCTCAGTGCTTGATTTTAAAAACCACAGTTAATCAAGGAAGAGCTTTCACTGACAGTCATCCTTCCAGGAGGCATTCTCGTGTTTTTCCAGACCTGACCTCCATGGTGGGGACTTACCTCTTACACCCCGAATGTCATGGGGAGGGAGGGGCTCTCTCCTCCTCCAGAGCCACCCCCTTCACTTGGCACTGCTTCTGGCATCATTGTTCATATAAGAGATTTGCTGGTCAGAGACTCTGGGGATGGGGGCAGGCTTAAAGGGGCAGAGCTGCATGAAGTCTGCATCACGGGGGAGGTCAAGGCTATGGCAGACTCCCCCAGCTCACGCTTTATCCCCTCGTGAGTGTGTTATTTTTAATGTGGGCAGATGTTTGTATCCATATGAGGCTGTATGGTAATGAGTTACCTCATGGCTATCTTCCCCATGTGCTCTTGCTGTTGAACTGTTCCGTGAAC